GATAGGAGAGACATAAAAATTGTTTCAGACTTTAAATACATTCTGACCAACATGCAATAAATTTAGATAAATGTTGAAACACCATCTACATTTTATTTAATATCAAAATTTCAACACTGTATCACTTTTGTGAATGTGGTTCATCTTTTGTGTATGTTAGGCTTTGCACACAATCATGATGATAAACTTCAAGGACAATTTAAGGTCTTTTGAAGGCTTTAATTGCTGTTTTTCAATGACTCCAAACTTCCTAGTTTTGTCCTATTATTTAAAGAAACATTTATATTGTGTTTTTTGGAATAATCAAACCTACAGTTCTTCACATGTAAACAATGCTTTTCACTTAATATATGCAATCGTATCACACTTTCACCCATCTTGCCCATCACTGGCTCAGCAGTAAGATCTGCAGATTCACACTGCTAAAACCAGGTTTTGATACTCATGGTGGGCACAGCACAGACAGCCCATTATGTAGCTTTACATTTAATAACAAAGAAAAAAAATTCATCCACCTTGCACCAATCTATTACTTTGTTACAAGTGGTACAACACACTGTATAGTTATATCTTTTGTATTTTTGGGCCCAATTTTTGAATTCATTTAACCATTTCCTATTAAATATGCACTACTCAATGATGAAAATGAGATACTATAGCATTCGGTTCATGAAAGTATGATTACATCAAACATCATGTATGTTCAGCAAAGATACACATGATAACATTAATTGCCATTTTCCCTTACTCATTGTTTCATTTTACATTCAACACTTGTTGCATTAAACTGATCCTGAAAAATCAAGTTAGCAAAGTCATTTTATGGCAGGGAAAAGGTTATTAGTTTATTAGGTTTTTTTTTGAGACCAAGCAAGTGTTGAATGGAAAGTTGCTCTGGCAAAGACAACTAATGAGAGTAAACAACTTAGCAACTGACTGGCCTCATGAAACTCCTGACTGGCTTAATTATATAAAACTGAAAAACATGTTATTATAACAATTTTATAGAATACTCTGATTTAAGGATTTTTCAAGTCATTTTAATAAAATTTCAAGGGTTTTCTGAGACAAAATTAAAATTTAAAAATTTTTCTAAATAAACAAAACTTAAGAACTTTTCAAGCTCTGTCCAAACTATGTGTGATCAAAGTTTTATCACCTCAACTTGCTTACAACAGTCATTTGCCATTTACCTCTGATGAAGTAATGTCACTTTACGACAATGCTCGGGTAATTGGAATTATTTTCTGATCACAACTTAACATATTCAACCAGTCTGCTAGTAAAGTCTTGTTGGATAGAAGAAGTGAGCATCATTACCAGAAGCAAATATCCCTGATGGTCATAAAAATGCAAGACATCCTTACGTGCCACAAGATATCTGTACCCTAATCATTCTTTTTTTTATTTGTTGTGCATGTGCACATTTCTTCTATTTAAGATATCAATCTCTGGGACATTAAGAAACTTAAATATCCACTTGAAAAGGCTTTGTCTTCTTTTCTTATATTGAAGATACACATCTATAAAAGAAATAATACAGTCATATGCTGTACACTATGCAAGAAATCTAAAACTGGGTCTGGGATGGGGCGAGGGGTCCAAGAGGTAGCTTTTAATAGAAGTGTTGGATATAGAAGACTGTTTAGTTTAAGAGTTATTATGTAGTTCATTTAGTGATTTAATATTTAATGACTATTTAATTTTCATAACATGAGTGTTAAAAGTTATGTAACTCTGTATGAGTCACACATTGTGTATGTAGTTTAATTGCTGTACTAGGCTTTCATAATATTCTTGATGTCATCTTACTTGAAGCTTCTAAATTTTTCTTGTTATGTTTAATATTGTTGTTACTAGAAGACTAGATATTTTTTGATTTTGCTGTTGGGTCATATAAATATATGAAGATACAAAGAGCAAGTTAAGTAAGTTAGTGAAAGTAAAAGTGAAAAAAGGTGAAATTAGATTGCACAATTTTTCAATTTAACTGAAACAGGCAATTTCTAAAGTGAAAGTTTCACAGTTTGTATTGTAACAACAGAGATAGAGAAGAAGAATTCGTCTTGTCAATTGGTTTCTAAAGTAATTGAGCCAGTCTGTGTGGACTTTTGACCTAAAAGAGAATTATTTAAAGCTCTAGATACAACTGTGGTAACGTAAGTGAATTTATCACTGATTATATTGTGATAACAGAGAAGAGAAGAAATAATCCATCTTGTCAATTAGGTTCTAAGGTAATAGAACCAGTCTGTGTGGACTTTTGACCAAAAGTAGAATTATTTAAAGCTCTAGATTCAACTGTGGTAAACAACAGTGTAAAAATTTTTGTACATATGTTTGACTTGTTTTGAATATATATTATTTTAACCTCTATGCCCAGGCATCATTTACTGCTCATGTCACAAAGTTTTAGTGACTTACATTTCCAAATTTTATTAAACTACTTTTTGTTTATGTTATACCAAGTAGAACAGCATAACATCATAGCTAGTAATCTATATTTTAATAGTATATAAGTGTTAAGTTCTTAATTTTATAAGGTAATATTTAAAAAAATCCTGAATTTTCCCTAATGTGAGAAATGTGACATTTTCTCTAGGCATCCCCTCTTCTCTATTTTATTTACCACTCCTCCATAAAGTATGAAATATAATGTAAGTTACTCTGCCATCCCCACTTCTCTATTTTATTTACCACTCTTCCAAAAAGTATGAAATTTAAAGTAAATTATTCTCTATAAAATCGTCATTGCTTATACAAACCATAATTTATATAACCTTCAGTTTTGTTTGGTTACAGAGCCATCAAATAGAATATCAGACCCCTCTAGCTACACCCATCTGTCACATCCTCTCTTTTAGGATTTGTTAATAGTTCTCTCTTATGTTTAATTCTACATTATCTATAACCAATAGAAAGCCAAGGTTTTCATCTTTCAAATGACATATCAAATTAAGTTATTTTCTGAATGGAGAATTGTCAATTTCTCTGTTAGTACCAGCTTTGTTTCCACGAGAAAAATAACAACTAGTTTGGATGAATTCGTAACAGCTCTTGTTGCATAGTTAGAAAGCCAGAAAAATTGTGATAGTTAGGGGAAATTGGCTGCTTTTTGCATGCTATCATTATATATGTTCTTCGGTGCATTATTTAATTAAGTAAAAATTATTTAGTTAATTACTACCATTAGTATGAAAAAGTAGGGTTAAGTGTCATCGACAGTCAACAGCAAAAAAGACGACAACTCTGGTAAATACTTTATTTCTTGTTTTTCATGTTTATGCTTTATTTATTATTATAAAAGTAACTAAAATGCAAAAATATAATCTCTTTAGGTTAGTTATGGTTAGATTAGGTAAAATGAATAATAATACTATAATAAAAATGTTTCATGAGGCATGTAGGCGAGCAGCTTGTGGTTAACATAATTCAAAAGTGTGATGTACGCTCCACATTCCACAAGTGATTTACAACTTATAATGGCACAAATAGTACTTAGACATATTTCAAAGGGCAATAAAACTATAAAATTTAAGTATAAATAGATGTATACTGTTATGAGTTTAAAGCTACTTAGGTTTAATGATTGTAATTTCATGTTACAATTTGAAATCATTCTAGAAAGAAAAAAGGGTAATTTGGAATTATTTCGATTTTTTTTTGGTTGTTACGAAGTTGGTCAAATTGATCAACTTTGTATAGAGTTAGGGTAGAGAAAATAACAGATAAAATATAAAGTTTTACTGAAAACAAACATTTGAAATGTATTTTGGATGTTTTAGAGATTATACAAATGAAATTTGAGATTTTTGAGACGAATAAAAGTATTTTTAACCTTAACATGAAAATAACTTTGCACACAGACTATTCAAAACAAATACTCGATATGTTTACAGACAAATCGTTTTTTAGTTTATTTAAAATATTTCACTAAAAAATATGACTTTTTATATGTGAAAGACTTATAATGTTTACTGAAAGACTGTCAAATTTTGTGAAGATATACATACTATATTAAATGTTAGTAGTATCAAATCTATAAAGACTTTAAATGAGTACAAAGAGGCCACGTGGTTGGTCAAATCGACTGAGGCCATTTTGAGAGAGTAAATCAAATAGATTGTGTGTTGTCCATTTATTGTTGACCCATTTATTACCAACAAGTCACAGAGATCTACTGTAAAGAATCTTGCCCACCCATACTTAGAAACCTGACAAGAAGACACACAGTAAGTTGCCTGAAAAATTTAGACCCAATGATGGTCTTCATCAATCAAAGAGACACAAATAGCTGCTGCATCCAATGTGAAGGTACAAAAACTTTTTTTAACAGAAAAAGTCTGTAGACACCTTGTATAATTTGTTTATGACAACTGCAGAACTTAGCAAACATATTCCATTTATAACATGGCGATCATGTTGTAAATACCCTTTGCACTGCACTACTGACAACATGTCAACATATAGATAATATAGGTGGCAGAAATTTTTACTTATCATCAAGTTAGGAAGCACAGCACTACTGGCAACATGCCAACACATAGTTAATACAGATTACAGAAATCTTCATCAGTGATAATTTCAAAACCTTTCTCATGATGAGAGAGCTGTTCACCATTCCAAAGCAATCCACACAGTTATTACACATGAACCATGTGTAATAACTGCCTTGCTAGAAATACCCATAAATAGCATATTGTATACATATATACAGTGGTGGGATTCAAATATTTTAACAACAGGTTCTCTCACTAGCAGCATGTAAAAATATTAGATATTAAAAAAAAAGAAAGGCTGTTGCACTTGTAGTGCAAATATGAAGTTCTCTTGGAAAAGCAAACTTTTAGCCACAAAAGTAAAGTTCTTTCTAACTTATTGTTATGAATACTCTCAAAAGCACACTAAAAGGTTTAAAAAGTAACTTCAGTCTATTTCAAATGTAGCACAAATATGTAATACATTGATTGCCCACATCATTAAGACCTCCAACTAATATAGAGTTGGACAATCTATATCCAAATAGCCTGGGCTTTGTTTATGTCACAGAAATTCCACAAGCTGCTGCATTGTGTCAAAACAACACAAGCAAGGGCAAGTGCCCAAAGAAAAAAAATTGTGACTCATAAGACCACATCAAAAGTTTCCAGTCTTGAATGCCCACAGTTGTTCCCAATTGTTGGTTTGTGGATTGGTTCTGATCCATTGATGCTTTCTTCTTGGTCCACAGAAATACCCAACAAAAAGAGAGAGACAGACAGACAGAAAAGAAAGAAAGAAAAAAGGTCTGATGAAAGATCCAACTTTTGTAAAATAATAAGTTGTACACATTAGGAATATGTGAAAAGTGTTGTGTTCTTCTTAGTTCATTGTAAAATAAGTGAACCTCTAACTTTCACTTCCAAGATTCTTAAAGAAGTTAAATTAGAATAACATTTCAGGCCTGTATAATTTTAAATTCTGTACACTTTCTACAGAGATTTTGCCAGTCTGTGGAGCAAAAATGGTTGGAAAACTACTCTAAAACACTAATAATTCTTTACTTTCAGGTTTGCTTCTGAGGTAAGCAATTTTAGGGTTAGTTTTCAGCTGCAATTTGTAAAGTTCTTCACATCATATGATTAGAGATAGTTGAATTGTAATCAATGTTGAAATAATTGGTCAGTTGGGTCACAGTCTAAACATCAGTTGCAATTTAGGAAATTGTCTAATCATCTTTTCCATATGTCAGTCATCAGTACTTGGCAGCTACAGATTCTCCTAGTGGCAGATGTAAATTCTTTCACTTTATACACTGGGCTGAGCTCATCCCTCGACGAATGTGAACTTCAACGTTCTCCATGAAAGCAATAAACTCAATAGCAAAGTGTTTAGAACAGTAAAAAGCTCTGAAACCAAACTAAAAGTTAATCCACAGCAATGATTTCATCTGCAAAGTGAAGGTTATGGCTAAATAAATAGAGAATTATTTGACTAAAAAAGGCAATGCAATGGAGCCAAACATAACATACAATTAACAACATAATAAACAAGAACTTAAAATTTATAAAAAATCACAAGCTTCCTGCCACACCTCAAAATCAAAAACGGTTTTCATAACAGAAATGACTGAAGAAACTGGGACCACAACAATTCTAATCAACCATACGTCTATCAAGTCCCCTGATGCAGCTCAAATGGAATTTTGTGTCTTTGATCTGCTTAAATGTGGCCTTGGAAGCTAAAATATCATGTACATTGGAGGGTGTACAGAAAGTTTATCACTATTTTAGGTCTAAAATTGACCTTGCCATCCTTTGCAGAAGCTTCTTTATCTATAATGGTAAATGCAATGTTGGGTAATAATGAATAATCATAGCAATAAAGCTGAGTATGATTAGCAATTAACCCTCAAAATATTTATGAATATATACATATATTAAAGTATATTTAAATGTTATTATATAATATTTAAATAATACCCAAACCACACCATTATAGTTTATAAGTATTCTAAATTAATTAAACACAATAACTCACTTTAAAAACAAAACCAAAATTCCTGGCAGCAGAAGTAAGGGCTTCCTCATCTGGGGACTGGGCTTGATATTCAAGTCGACCTGGAAAATCAACATTGTTAGTGGAGTAATTTCTTCCACAGATAAAACAGCTGAGCTCTAATAAATTGTGTGATTCCCGAAAAATCACATTTTTCACTCAGACAAGTAGGCATGACAATAGGCTGACCAGCAATAACATTTTTTTCTTTGATCTAATGCAAATAAGTGTGATGACATAATGTATTGTATAATGATCCAAATGGTTAAAACAAGTGTCCTCTTCAGGTGGCCTTTGGCCCACTTTTGGGGAAATAACTCTGAGCAAAAGGTAATAACATTTTTAATTTTGAGAATTGTCGATGATTCATGATTACTATTAATACCTTTAAATTTATAATGACTTACAAACAAAGACATAATATGGAAATATGTAACAGCAAGGGGCAGTCCTTGGCCAGTTTTTTGGTAGTTCCTATGATATTCGAAACGTTTAAAGGTTTTAAAGTAACCTCAAATTAGACTTATTTCTTGAAGCCCACATTAGCATATCAACAGAAAAAACATTACAGGCAGATTGTTACTGAATTTGCTGATGCTGACAAATTTTTCAGAATCAAATCAACCATCGTATAAAAGGATATGAACAAAATAAAACTAGTAAATGAAAAACACTGTACAACCGGGTATTTTACAAGTTTGAAAAATGGATGGATTACATAGTGTGTTAATATGTAAATGGGCTGAAGGTAGTGAGAGCATTAAACAAATAAATATTAATACTATTTTTTGAAAACATTTATACTTCAGAAACCACAGTAAAAAACATGATTTTACAACTAAATATTTTCTTCAAACATAATATTATGTTATAAGTTATATATAGAAAGAAAAAAACATTTCAACTCACCTTCTTTAACTTCTGACATCACAGTATGACATAAAGCTAACAAACTGAAGAATTCATAAACATCCTTTTCACCAGCTTTTACATCATCAAGGAGCATCTCATCATAAAACTTAAACTGAGGCTCATACATGGGGTTGCTAGATAGGTCTATGGGTTTCATATCCTAAGAAAATAGGAAGAAAGATGGCACAAGTTTCATAAATACATAACTTTTAATAATGTTTGACATGGATAGCTTTTCTCAACAACTATTTAATAATATATTTACAGATGAAAATTATATTTGTAGCCCACAAGTTTCTGAATAGAATGTTAGTTCATTTAGATGGTACATACTGCTTAGTTGTGTAAATAGTCAGGTATAATGTGTCAACACTTTAACCATTCTATATTATATTCTTTATGCAATATATAACTTGTCAGCACAAATTATGGGCTAAAGGTACATAAAAGCAAGATTTCCAATACATTTTAAGCTTCCTTAATTATGTTTATGTTGATAAAACAAATTAGTTTGCTGAATACAGGGCACTACCTTTGTAAGTTCATATGAATATTTGGAGTTTACACCAAGATGTTGAAACTGATATATATACCTCTGTTATCTCCAATGGTTCTCCTGTTGCTGGATCAAGTACTTCCCCGTACATTCGACCATTAATGCTACACTTATTGAAGATCATAATGTTTTGGGTGAGGGTACCAGTTTTATCAGAGAATACATACTCTATCTGGCCAAGCTCCTCATTCAAAGTTGTGGTCCGTGCTCGAGCTGGAGTGTCTTTTGTTTCATAATACATCTTTTGATCCCAATTTATCCATAAACTATGGGCAAAACGAATAACTTCCACACTGTAAAACAAAGATAACTTCTTAGAAATGTGGATGTAATTTATAGTAGATTGAATCTGTAATTGAATTATTGAAATAAAATATACATGTGGAAACCAACGTAAGTAATAAAATAGTGATTTCTGTTTTAAAAAAAATATTTATACTTTTAACCAAGATATAATTTATAATTAAATGTTGTGTGTGTGTGTGTGTGTGTGTGTGTGTGTGTGTGTGTGTATATATATATATATATATATAATAAATCGATTGATAGTTTGCTGTTAAGCACAAAGCAACAATTTTTAGCATTATAAGCCTTTAGACTTATGGCTGAGCCACTAGGGGCCTATATTAGAAAACAAAAATATATATATATATATACATCATCATAACAAAAGGCAGGACTTAAAATCAGTGAAATAAATATAAAATAAAATTGTACGAAAGGCCAAATTCAACAAAAATGCATGATTAAAGTCTACTTCAATTTCATCCACCTTTAAAGTAAAAGCCTTATAGTTACCATTTTTGGACTTGATGATCTAAAAACTGATATAAAGCCATACTGTCAAAAACTTGCTTCAGCAAATGTTGAAAAGATTCTGTATTGGTTCTTTTATTTTTAATGGCAATTCACCAATGTTATGAACCTTAGCAAACATAGATTTAAAATCATTTTCACATCATGAAACATTACAATTACAAATATACTTTCAAATTATGTAAATTAATCAAATAATAAGAGTAATAAAAACAAAACAAGTCACAATTATATTATTTAGTTTAAAACATTGAAGATCCATTACAGAGGTAGTTATTTGCCAATTCAAGGTTATCTTCTTTTTAATTAACATACACAAATTCAAGTTCATCTTAGTGAGCAGAATGCACCAACAATGGACAACTGAGAAAGCAAGTATTATGTTGGATTTGATTTTTAAAGTCCTTAAATGTAGTTATTTGTGCAAAATATTGTATATATTTTCTCTGTATTCCTTTTCAAATGCTGTAATTTTTTTAACAAGTCAGTAAAGGCAGAATTTGAACTCGCATGTTTCTTAACTGAACAGGTACCCTAAAAACAACTGTCAGACCTCTAAAAACTGCAAGCCTCAGTGTTTTTTTTTAAGTACAATATTTAATTTATACTAATCATAACCTAGTTCAATTATAAAATGGCAAGGATGTACAGTTTAATTTTTCTTCAATCAAATGATAAGCAGTGTTTAAATTAATACATGAGCATCATTTACTCACTGAATAGTTAGTGAATCAGTTTTATTATCAACATATTGCTAGTTACAAAGAGTGAAACACAAGTACCTTAAATTCAGTGTCATCAGATTTAGAGTTTGAATTAATCAAATTGTCTGAAAAAGTTATATTTCTTAAAAACATGCTCAGTAACAAGTGTGGGTGCCCTTTGCATTTGTAGAAATACTTCTGATCAGTCAGTGGAAGACATCAAAATCCTTACTCATTTCTTAGTCACTGCAATGCCACATGGAGGGTTAAGACATTGGTTTACATAGCAACCAAGGAGGTCAAAGAGGTACCTTATGTAATTAGATCAAGATTTCTTACTGGTTACACCAGGAAATCTATAGCTTCTCATTCAAAATTAATTACTATAGTCCAGGCAACGTGATACTATGCATCATCCTGAATTAGGATAAAATGGATCACAAGAGGAAAACAGATGCCCAATGGTATTTCAGCAAATTCTGCTGACCTTTTGCTATCAAGTGAAAGGCTTATGGTCTTCTTGGTTTTACACCAAATATAAAGGCTGTTTCCTAACAATTGATTACTGATAATCTCTCCAGCTTGAGATACAAGATTTAGTCACATTCCCAGCATTTTTATGGCATGCTTTACCAAAACAATAGTGGTTTTTATCCCCTAGCTGTCCTTAGAGTACCAGCACTTCCAATTTAATGTTAAGTTTAAAACCCCAAATTTTACCCACTTCTATAGAGAATGCAAAATTTTGTGGAATATAAAAAAAATTGAAATTATGGATATACTTTTTAAAATGTATTGCATTTGAAAACTAAGATTATACAACATTCTTAGAAGCCTGAGCATAAAATACTATAAGGAATTCTCTGTCTCAATGAATACGTTGTTTATTTAACAAAGTAGTTGCAAAACTAGTTTTCATCACTTTATTCTCTTGTTGTGAACATTCAATAAAGAAGAAAAAAAGGGACTTACAAATGACTACCATTACAACGTATATATAAATTAACAAACTTCAGATGTTTTCAGTTCTTACATTTACCCAGTTTCATTCCTCTTGTTCTAGTTTGTTTGTATTATATAACACGTAACATTTATAATTATTAAAATAAGTGTTAAAACTTCAAAGTAATTTTTATTTTGTTAGACTTCTGTATCTTAAACTCTCTTAAAATCTTCTGAAAGTTGCCATTGATGAGAAGGTAATATATGATGTAAAGAACTCATTGCAAAAATATAAACTGGTAGAGCATAACAGAAAGATAAAATGTTCAAAATCTGTGCCTTTAAGCTATTTGTAAATCATATAAGCTAAAGAACTGGAAGATTTGTTACCTCACATATAGGGAAATAGGTACAACAGTATTTAACACTATTGCATAGGAAAAAAATACAAGCACTGCAATAACAGTGGCTCCACTTGTTGTATTTTCCTTTGGTATAAGTGAATCCCAAGGAAGATAAATCCTGAAGTGTTGTCCAGTAACACTTTCCCATACTCCACATGCTATGGTACAAAACAGGCACATGCTGAACAGGAAGAAGACAATCTATAAAAATAAATATAATGAGGTCATCAGGCAATAATCAGGTCACATGTTTTTATTAATGCTCTATAGCTTAGAACATTTCAAATTCCTAATGATACGTTGCTATCTCTAAACTGAAAAAATATATTCTTAAATTAATAACATCTTAAAAACCAGTATTTCAATTTACCATTTATATGATTTCATTATATAAATTTAAATTTTATCTTAAATGCTAAACTATGAATTAGATCAACAGTCACAATAAGTCTTTTCCAAAAAAATGTGGACCTTTTATTTTACACAAAGAATTTAAGTGACTTATAGAACAGTGTTTATTTAAAACAAAATCAGAAGATAATGGACCTTTTAGATTACTGGGGAGGTCTTTTGACCCCCTTCCTCTGTTCTTACTTTCCCTCTTTTGATGTAGATTAAGCTACACTTAATTACAGGAAGCTTAGGTAATATCTTCTTTATTTTTTGTTTATTTTTCTTTGTTCTTTATTGTCATCTGATTTACTTTTATTTCAAAGACAATTAAACTGGGTATCAGTTATTTGACTGTACGTTCCTTTAGTAAGCTCACAGTTAGTATGAAGTTTTAAAACTTTTTTTTATGTTTTGCTTTAAATGTTAATCATAACCAAATTTAGTGTGAAACATGGAAAACTCAATTCATTTTATACTTAAATTTCAAGATCATTAAAAAGATTGAATATTTATAGTTATAAAAAATTATAAAATTTAAAAACTCCACAATCTATTTTTAATTCATATTACCTTACTTTCATGGATATCAAGTAATTATTGTTTCATTATAAGTTCACTTTATCAAAACCACAGATGCAAAAGAAGTGTTACTTGCTTTCTTACTCTTTTGCGATATTCAGATACATTGATGTTCAACAGATTAGCTATAAATTGGAAACAGAATCAAAAAGGAAACGTTTTTCAGAGAATAAATCAAATGCAAACCAATGAAAAAAATGGACACAATTAAAGTAATACAACAAAGAAAACAAAAGCTTTAATCCATACACATACTCACACACACAACAAATTAATCCAATACTCAAATAATTGTGGTATCAGGTTCCCTTGGTAACATTTGATTTGTCTGCTAAAACTGTAAGGTCACAAGTCTTAAAAGAAAAAGACGACCAGGATTTCCTTATACCATGCAGTTAGTCAGGTTAAACTTCACCTAGTGATGTATACTACAACTACAAGATCCCTACATCAGAGGACTTTCTCATATTACATAGAACTCTGTTTGCCAACGTACAGTAGTCGAAGCACATGAGTACTTGAAGAAAGCCATCTCTTGAATGTAATATACACAAGCTAAAGTTCAATACATCCTCTTCATAACAAAACACAAAATCTACCTGAACTACTCAAACATATGGGAATAAACATGTATTCATATTCTAATTACAGAGAGCAAAGTATTGGTAGTAATAGAAAAACTCCCAATTTTTGTTTTCTGTTCTTCTCTCCCCCATCTATTTCTTGGATGTTCCAGACTCACTTTCAACATTTATTGTACCATTTGGTTGAACTGCCATCTCAATTAAAAGAAAAAACAATGCATTGAGGAAGAGTTACCACCAACTGATATATATACATATAAAACTAGTGACTTCTCTTTACCCATGAAAATTTACCAAACAACTATTAAAACTAAAACTTTTATTGCACCCAACTTGAATAACAGCAATTCCTCTTTTAAGTCACCAATCAGTGTGATACGTTTAAGTTCACTGCCCTAATGTTTAAACTGATCTATATTTCATATAATGTTGAAAAAAATTATTAAACTTATAGACAATAAACAGGTGTTGTCATGCAAATTCTCATGTATTTCTAATATAAGTACTCATAAATGTATTCAAACTGCAAAAGATCCAAAAATGAAACAAAGAATTACAATGGCTGCAAAACAGTTGCAAAAGGTATAAACCCGGCAAAAGACAACTAGAGAAATAACTTCTAAGAGTTCAGTTAACTATCAAATAACAAGTGAAAAATTGTTATATAAAGAACTGATGAACAATAAAAAAAGGGGTAAACCTCAGTGCTTGAAAACAATGTCTGCAAAATAATCGAATTTGCTATACATAGCTGGTTGTGAACATGATAATAACCCTACAATACCAACTAAAAAGTTATTAAAGAAAAAAATTATAGATTTTAAATCTTATCCATTTTCATAATCTAAATCAGATAATATACAGTTTAATGTATAAGGTGCATAAGTAAAAAGGAAGTATAATGCACTGAGTATAACACAGTTAAAAATAAAGGTGGAACTCAAAGATATAAACCAAAATACAATGCATAAAATATCTGGCAAAGTTAATATATCAAAACTAGAGTTAAAATGAATTGAAACATGACAGTATATATAATTAATAAAAAACAACTAATAAACTAATGTAAAATGTATTTAATACATATGCTTAGTTGAAAATTTGTGGAAAAGAAGTTGAAAGATACCGAATTAAAATGTAAAACTATACTTTCTATATAATGATAAATCTAATTAATCAATTGTCGTTTAAAGGAATTTTTAATGTATGTTTATATATACATCTTCTTCTTACATATCAGTGATAAAGGGTATTTTCTGTATTTATTGCAAAGTTTAAATGAATCAGTACCCATTTTCTCATGTTAGTGTCACATCTTGTTTTGTCTGGATAAAAGCAGAATTCTGTTGTGTGAGGTCAGATCATGGCTAAAATTTAAATACGGTCTTTAAAGTTAAAAGTAAATTCAGTTGGAACAAGAATGGTTCTAGGATAAGCAAGGTTAGAGCTGTGATATTCAACTAACATGACTATGATACTTTCATAGCTTAGAAATTAAAAATATCATTATTCTAATGTATTTAAATAAAAAATGTAAAAATCCCCGCACATGCATTTGTATCTAGTCATTCTACATAAAAAGGATGTGCTTGACCTTGAATTTGTTAATTTTGCTTTTATGTATTATGTATTTTATTATAATTCAAATATTTATCAAGTCTTCCCTTAAATACCCTCTAACTAACTGCATCTACCTCATCTGAAGGTAATCCATTCCAAAGGCCAACCACTCTGTTAGAAAAATACACCTGTCTTAGCTGAAGATGACTCCTACCTTGCCAAAATTTATACTTGTGTCCTCTAGTCTTACAATTTTCACCATTAAATAAAAAAATATGATGCATCAACAGCATCAATTCCCTTTACAATCTTAAACACCTCAACCAGAACCCCTCTAACTCTTCTTTTTTCAAGAAAAATCAATTTCAGAGATCTTAAGCTATCTTTGTATGACAATCTTTCCATCTCAGGTATCATTCTAGCAGCCCTCCTCTGAACTCTTTCCAACAATTAAATTTCCTGTCTAAGGTAAGGAGCCTAAGACTGAACACAGTACTCCAAATGTGGTCTAAACCAATGGCCTATACAATGACATTACAGCCTCTTTAGACTTGTATTTAGTATTTCTGTAGATACAACCTAAAATCCTACTTGCCCTATCCTTGCAAAGTTATTTCTCGGTCAGGTTAAAAATGGTGAACTGTCCAGTGCAGTAGTCAAAATCTGCCTTGTGCTTTCAGTTATTATGGCTTTTATGGAAAAGATAACCATTCACTGAGATACAATTTTCATATGCCACCTTTTACCATCGTTTTTGTTGTGACATTCCAGTGATTTTGTTTCAAAGTGAAATAGCTGTGTCCAATCTAAATGTCTAATTGGCAAGTTTGACTTATTCTGGTCCTAGAAACACATCGGTAAGTTCCACTAGAAAGTTACTCAGTTCAGTATACACTGATATAAAGCCACTTTACCTGCAGAGTACTCTATCAGTGACCTTGGTTGTTCTGACAAATGTTAATTTGCTCTTGGATATGGTGATACTGTAGCAATACTAGTTATATAAGTAGCTTAATTACTTTCTCCCTTACTCATTAAACCAAAAACCATTATAACTGAAAAATGAATAATCATCTATCCTTAACTGCAAACTGACACAAACCTGACACTTGGAAAATAGATTTTTAAGCAAGTACAACTTAGTTTCTGGACAGGAAAAAAAAGCATTTCAAGCATTGACTTCTAGATAGTAATAATACAGTAGATATATAGTAATATAGCATCCCAGAAACACTTGTAATTGAAATATTTTTTCTCCTTCCTCAAATTATATTCATGGAGTCCACTACTTCTGAGCTCTTATTCATCTAGATGGGATGTTTTTAATTCATTGCTACAGCTTACTTCTACCACAAACCAAGATGGTTTATAACTTCTGCAGAAGGTCTATCCCTAAGATACCAAAGTTAAAACCAAATAAGAGACACTAAATTTCATTCAGTAATATACAACACTGATAGTGAGATGGAGTTCTGCTTCAACATTATCAGGCCTTAGCCAGAAGGAAGTTAGAATTGACTGGCCAAATTAGAGGCTTCACCCTCTTGGCATAAGTAGGTTGCTACACCTGAACAGGTTTGTAACAAAGCTCCACTAGTTTAAACTAGCTAAAACAGCCACAGCAATTATTGGTCTTTAACACTTCTGCTGTTGGCTAGCAGTTGACCGAAAAAAATAGATCTGGCATCTCTTTTGATGCATGACAAGATTGGGGCAGTTTATTCTGCAGTGTCCAGGACACATGCAATTGAAGCAAAAGCTTTGTCAGTCACCTCTACAGACACCTCTATTGGAATTTAGAAAACATTTTTTTCAAATGCTTCCAAATAGTGTTTGCACATGTTGATTGACACAAAAGAGCTTATAGGAGACCACTATCATGTTAAAAAAGGAAGAATTTCAATGGAAGTGGAGCTGAAAGAGAGTTGTGTGCATAGTTGAATACTTCATCTCACTTACAACTCCTTTATCACAGTTGTTAAAGTATACTTGACCAAACTTTTATTAAATAAATATGTTACATCAAAGCCCACAAGATCTATTTCACCAAGTAACATGTTGTTTATTAGTTCTTTCAAGTGAAAAGAAACTAACCAAAGAGACTGAGTGTGTTGAAAACAATGATGTCAAATGTGGTAATTCATGAGTTAATTCCTACATGTATGAAATTCTCAATAAGGGTGAAGAAAACAGCAAGTTTATGAATTTTTGGCAAATGGTATATCTGAGTCTGATTATTAAAATAAAATGTAAAAAAAAACATAGGCCTGTACATGACTGACATATAACTTTGCTCCATTTGTAATGCATTAAGTATTTTAGTAAATGTATTTATAATTTGAACTGACAGTAGCTACAGTAAACCAATGAAAAGATCATAATGTAACAAAACTCATTTGTTGTATATTATTTCATGATCATATAGTTTTCATACACACATTAGATGCTTCTTATCTAGAAAGTAGTTTAAATATTTGTATCAAATAAATTATCATTTATTTCCATGAAAGTTAAGTAATATTTTTTCAAGGTAATTTCCCATAAAACAAAGAAAATTTGTTGCCATTAGAAATACCAATCTTGAAATTTACTATTCTTAAAAAATAGTGTGTCTAGGTAGAAGTTAATCATTAGCTATCTGAATAATTGCTATTCAGACAGTTTGACAATGCAGAATCATGTAAAGAGTTTATTATCACAGCAATCTCTTTTTTCCTGATATAATCACACAAGTCAGTACTTCTAATGATACTAACTTTATCAATTTAAGGTTATTTTATTTAATCTGAACATTGAAATATTTTTTATTACTTAGCACAGAAAGCTGGAACCTCCTCAATAATTCCATTAGATATTCACTAAGGATTTGGTTAAATAAACATAGTTTAATAAAGAAAAGCTTGTTTTAAAAACATCAAAACATAAAGTGAGAATCATTAGGCTTTAAGCTAGAAGTTAACATTTTCCGATATTGAAAATGCATTTCTGATAGATGCTCACCTCTCTTCACATCTAGCTTTCTCAATGCAGTACTGCCTTCTACATGCAAACGTTTTTGCTCATCACTAGCCTTGAGACTTTCATCTAATTTCAAGCATTTCCATGTGATACTGCTGCATGCAAATGAGCATGTGACAACCCTCCAACAATAGGAGTGTGACACTGTGAGATCATGATAAAAAAAGATATTGAAGTGATGGAATAGAATGCAGGAAGAATCAACAGTGTATGACTTATAATTTCAATGACCATAGGTGAGGAGGAGGAGGAAATAAGCTTTAAGGGACAGGTGGTATAAAGAACAGGAAAACAAAGGTTCAAAGGGAGGTAGGGTAAAAGTATGGAGAACAACATTAAGGTCACAGTCAGGTACATTAGACGTACAGGGAGGGCAATGGAGGTAAAAGAAACAAAGGAGCATTGTAAGGACCAGGAGGAGTAAACCCTATGAAAACAAAAAATACATAAAGTAGCCAAGAAAGCCACCCGGTAACCAGCAATAGTTAAGATAGACAAGCAGTGGTCAAAAAGCCATGTTAAAAACTCAGACAAATGGGGAATGGGAAAGAAAGAAGGTGAGAAGGATCAATACAAAAACCAGTGGTGATTAATATGCCACTTCTGCTGATAATCTTCTAAGAAGGATGGGTGAACAGAATGAGATAGAAAAAATGCTACATGTGAAGAGAGTTCTGACCATCGTGCAAGGAACCAGGCAAATCCCATGTGAGAAGTTGGAGTGAAGAAAGAAGTACAAAGCTGAAATAGAAGGGAAGTAGAGGATGGAAGAAGAAAGGGAGAAAAGTCAGAAGGCTCAGCAAAGGAAACCTAAATGAGACAGCCAATAGGGTTCTACCAGAAAGACCCAACAAGGCATGTCCTGTATGAGGGAGGAAGCAAATGGGGGAGGGGGTTAGCATAAAGGAAGAGATTGGACCAGTCCTGACTGAACATTTCCACTGCCAGTGCAGATTGTGCCACCAGGTGAGATCATCATACAGAGAAGGAGGAAGATAAACAAGGGATCCCAAGAGAGGTTCTACTGATCATGTAGTCCACTGTAAAAGGTACATGTGAGCATAACCCATGGGGACAAGGGGTTCTATGGAAGCCCAAATTCCCAAAAAAATTAGGAGAGCTTCTTGTGCATGAGGAGAAGGAGAGGACAATTCCATGGCTTGTAAATGAAATAGAAAAGGCTGTGCCCTGCTGTGATGGGAATTAAAGAACATACACAAATGAACCAGATACTGGGTGAGTATGAGATTAGATTCTTCAGTTTTACCAGCCAACCTTGGCAAACCACCTCCCTGTTGGGATGGAGCTAAAAGAAGCCAGTCATCCATATAATGGTGTAATCTCAATCCCAAGCCATGAATGTTACAAGCAAAGACACATACTACATGATAAAAATGTATGGGACTGGTGGCAGCTCAAAAAGGAAGAGCTGGAGCTAATGACTTTGACTTTGGTGTACAAATCAAAGGTAAAGTCTGGATGCTGGGGAAGTGGGTATTTGAAGATAAGTATTGAAGATTACTACCTTGATCATTCAAAGTGCCAGAGAAAACAACCACGGGAAGGTGAGAAAGCTCTCAAAAGTAAAACAAGGAAAGTCGAGAAACTGATTGAGATACGAAAGATCTATGACCAAATGTCAATTCCCATTTTTTGAGGGGAATGACAAACAACCAGGCGAGAAACCCTTTTGACAGCATTCTTGCTCAAAGGGTCTGACACTGTCTCAGAGATACAGTGTCAAGATAAAGGATCTCCAGGAGGAGGGAATGGGAACAAGAGACAAGGGAGAAAGATGTGAAAAACACAGGGTAAGGCATTCTCATAGAACTTGTAACACCAAACAGTCAGCCACAAAAGGAATCCATAATCAAGACAAATATACCCCACTATTTCTGAAACCAGAGGATAATCATGAACAAAATTGTTGGCATTGAAGCCTACATGCAAAGAAAGAACAAGTGGAAGCAGAGGAATGGGATGGGAGGACAGGAAGAGGTAAAGATGTAGAAGGATTGTGACACTGTAATGGAAAGAGAAGGAGCTTAGGAGAGGCAGGGCACAAAGGAAGACAAGGAAAAATGTTGGCATGCAGCCTCAGCTTGTGACTCCAAAGAATCAGAAACTCCACTTAAAATCATTTGGTAGAGGAAAGGAGCAAGACAAAGGTCCCTGAGATAAGAGGGAAGTAAATGTACCTGGACAAGAATGGCATCTTTCCCTAAAACATCCCAGCAACAGAGTAACCAAGTGAGAAGGGACAGGATCAAAGAAGAAGAATGTGCCAATATAGAAAAAAAGAAGGGACAAGTGTCCATTGAAAAACCCTTCACGGGAACAATGACTTGTCTCTAAAAGAAGATGGAGGAAAGATAATTGAAAATGGTAATGAGGGTAAGGTAAAGACGTGAAAATTGAGCCTGAGAAAAATGTACAGAGGATGAAAGATCCAAACTCTAAGCCTGCAGAAGAGACTCCAGAGTTTGGAAGTCCAAGAAAGGGACTTCAGACCAATTATAAGCCAAGGCAACAGAGTCAACCAAGTAAGGAAGATGAGGCATGGATGCACCAGAGAGAAGTCGAGGTTCAGCATAGACTCGAATATCAGGAAAAGGAGGAAAAATGTAATACTCTGAAGAAGGGGATGAGTAAAGAAGGGAAAGAAAGTGAAAAATCTTAAGAAACACGAGAGAGAGAGAGAGAAGGTAACAAACCTAAGAAACCATGTCAAGGAAAGATGTAGAAGATCGATGCAGATCCACAACAGCACTAGAAGAAGTGTTAGCAAAAGTGGGTGGATGTGGGGAAAGACAAAATCACCATCATCTCAGATGAGATTCACAGGAGGAGAGATATCTGTGTCAGGTTTATAAACTGTCCCAGGCCACATGTAAGATTCACAAGTACATAAAGGTTGAATGTTCGCGCATGTATACCATTAACCATGTATTGCCTTATAGCCAGGGCACAGGACAGATAGATTATTTGGCATCTGTCCTGTGAAAATGGGTTTTCTCCAGGCACTCCGTTTTCCCCCACATCAAAGTTATCATCTGGGCATTGGACCTACTGCCACTGTCATTTTTTTTTTTTTATGTAAGATTCCATTTCCCATGGCACAATAGCCATTACATCTTCACCAGACAAAGAAGCATTTGATGCCTTAGTAGTTGCCTGTCTAGAGTGAGCCAACACAAAACAGAGTGGAAGTTCCTGTCACTTGGAAATTCAGGATGTGGAAAATAAGAGCCACAAAATTTGCAGATGCAGAAATCTTTAGATCAAAGAAATAAAGTAATATTTCCACAATGATGGAGTTTGTAGATACTTCTACAACAAAATATGTATGTTGAGAAATCTCAGGAGAGCAAAAAAAGACATGTCTGAACACGAGTGCTAAATTGAGAGATGATGATTGAACAATCAGTATAGAGGGAACCAGCTGTACTTGGAGACTATGTCACACTTCTACTGGTGGAAGGTTGTCACATACTTATTTACATCCAGCAACACAGCAATACCACATGAAAACATGTGAGATTAAGTGGGAGTCTCAAGGCTAGAGGACGGCAAAAAAATATGCATATAGAAAGCAGCACTGACTTGGGAAAAGTTACATATCATATCAAAAATGTATGTTTTCAGATTTTACATATAAATTATAAATTTAAAAAGAAAATATTGGAGAAAATGTTTCTTCAAATAATTCAAGTAGTTTTAAAAGATTTAAGGAAAGTAAGTTTTAATAATTGATAGGTTATAACAACGAAGTGAAAGAAAATTTCAAAAAAGAGAAAAAGAGTGATTAAAAAATTAACATACATACCCCAATGATTAAAATATTTAACAAGCGGTCTAGGCTTGTGCGCTTGAACATAGTTTTCCCACTATTCTGCATTAGTTTCGTGTCACGGCCTGCAAAAACCACCAACCCGTAACACCAGCGGGTGTTACGTAAAATGCAGCCTCTAAGTAGCATTTTATCATTGTCAAGGGAATAGGCCTCACCCTGCCAATGTAATGTTCCCTCAAATTTACTTAAATTATTATTAGGAGGCTCGCAAGTGATTTCACCTAAGAGACAAAAACAAAAAATCATGTCTTTATTAATCAATAAAATATACAAAATATAGAAAACAATATATATCAAATACAATGGAATGGAATTTGAGAAATTAATTTTTCTAGTTTCTCAGAAGTCTCTAAAATATGTTTTATGTAAACGTTCCTCATGTAAATACCTTTAAGTCAATGGAAAATACAAGAACCAAGGTTTGTTCATGTTCACATGAAAGTAAACAAGCTACTCATTAGCATTTGACATCTCTAAATGATAAGTAAATGAAAATAATATTGCTTGAAAATTACTAGACTGTTTAATTTATTTCATCTTTGTATAGTATTTACATTTATGTACCTCATACCGCTTTCATCTATGACTGTTACATAATTTTTTGTCTCAATAATTTAGGTACTAAGAAAACTATTTATACATAAATTTTTCCTTATTTTCCCTATTTCTGTGCATAATATTTATGTTTTTTACCAGGTAGTCCAGTATTATAAACTAAGACAGTCTTTATGATTTTCATATTTTAATAATACATAATGATAAATACAACTTTTTCCAATAACCAAGTTCTGCAATTGTTTAAATGTGAACAAAATAAAAAGTAATTACATTTATCTCACTGTTTACACACAAATAAGTGAATAGTACTAATACATTTTCGTATATATCTTAGGGCCTTTGAACTACAATTTATATTGAACAATATTTTATGCAACAATAGAAAAAAAAACCACTGTATATTGTTTGATCAATTTATTAAGGCCACCACAAATACACAAGTAACATACCACTGATACACAAAAAAATTTAAGCAGTCTTACAACATGTCACATTATAACTCCAGACACCACAGTATATTTCATGAATGTTACAGATATTTGGTAAAAAGCAAGAACTTAAAAAAAATCACAAAGTTACAATCACTGGTGTATGATCTTTATGAAATATTGTTTCCTTTACATGGGATTCTTTTGAAGGTTAATATTATGAATAAAATTTTTCTGGACATCTTCAATTATCTTTTTATTAGAGTGATATTATGGTGATTGTCTGGTCTGATATCATGTCAGGATGCTTATAAATTGACAACAGAGCATACAATTAAGTAAATAAACATAGAACTCAACATTATAATCAATTTATGAATATTACATTAAATTATCTATTTCTGGAACTTACTATGTTGTAGTAGGTATTAACCCTTTATCATCTTCAACCATATATTTACTCATGCCAGACATTATCTCCACCCATATATATATATATATATATACACACACACCGAATGTCTCACACACCATCTAAGTGCCTTGCACCTGGTTTGCTGTGTTCAAAACACTGCCTAATCATGAGAGAATATTATGCTCAGATGCTGACTCATTTACCCCAAAACCATGGCTAAGAGAGGACCCATGTGCTTGACAGGTGATGTACTCGAGCGAGCTTTGTTTGAAATAGAAAACATGGAGGCAGATGATCCACTTGAGCTAGATAATGATGATGACATTACTGGTGTTACTGCAGAGAATAATAACAAGACAGTCACTGAGTCTTTAAGCAGTGACAGCGAGGAAGCAGATTCCAACAAAACTGTGGCAATCACAAGTGGAACCAGTGTTGCAAGCTGTCCTCCTATGCTGATGGCTGATTTTGACAAAGCTGACTGGTAGTGGTAGGGTAGAGATTTTTTGCCACAGCTGTTTGATTTCGATTCCTCTCACAGTAGCATTGCAAGAAATGTAGAAATAAGTGATAATAGTAGTGAATTGGAATATTTCACACTATTTTTTTTTACCACACACATTAATAAAAATAATAGAGACAGAGTGAACTAAGCATTATTTATTTATGAGAGAGAAGTTAGGAGTGACACCACCATCATATTTACTTAGGTGGAAAGATGTAAAAGTGAATGAGTTGTATGTCTTTCTGAGATTGTGTATGTTAATGCCTCATGTGAAAAAAAAAGGAAATGAGTGAATATTAAGCCAAAGATAATCTAACTTTCACACCAATTTTTTTTTAATTGTTGCCAAAATTGCACTTGCTCCATTTCTCTGATAACTCTGTTCATTCAACAAACACACTGAAGAAAATAAATTCAGTGTTTTCCTACCGGAAAGAAAAAATTTTGAGTGGTATTTTATCCCTTCAAAAATGTAGCAATTGATGAAAGTCTGATTTATTCAAAGGCTGTCTAGCATTCAAACAGTATATTCCAAGCAAGAAGCATCGTTTTGGCATAAAAATATATGTTTTGTGCAATTGTGAAAGTGGGTTTGTGCTTGACCTCATTATTTACACTGGAGCAACAACAGAAATACCATTTAAGGACCCACTTGGAGTATCTGGAACAGATGCGAGACAAATCATGGAACCATATTTTGATAAAGGACACAGCTTATTTGTTGATAACTGGTATACTAGTCCACAAGTTTCCTATTTTCAAAAAAGGTTGGAGCTTGTGGGACAGTTCGTTACAATAGAAAATTTTTCCCTGAATTAAGACCTGCATCAAGAAGAGAAAACTTCACTCTTCATTCAAATAACAGTTTAGATATGAAATGTAACAATAAACATGAATTTAATATGTTGACAACACTCCACGAAGGAAAAATGGTTGATACTGGTAAGAAAGACAGAATAACTGGTGAAAATATAAAGATTCCTGATGTGATGGGCTATACAAATAATATGACACTCATTAACAAAGCTGATGTGCAATTGGCTTTGTTAAAATTACACAAGAGTCACTCAAATGGTATTGTAAACTATTCCTTCATTGTGATCCTAAATCCATATAACATGTTTCTGGTGAAGCCAGGAATGTGACCCAAATATTGAATATTTTGTCTTTACATCATAAGACAAATATTTGAAAGGTTTGGAGATGATGTCCAGCCACCAAAGCCAGAGAGACATAGTGCAATGGAAAGGACTGACACAAATAGGTTGTCGCTTCAGTTTGGTCACTTCTTTAGTCCTCTTTCCAGTACAGAGAGAAAAAAAACATGCTCAAACAAGATGTTTGGTTTGCTCTACAACTACATGTAGGCCTCGTGTGCATAAGGATACAAGATATTTTTGCAGTGTATGTAGTGCTCCACTTTGTTTGACTTCATGGTTTGAAGATTATCACACTCTGAAAAATTTCTAGAGTATGATCTAGTTGCTTTTTATTCAACTTCATAAACTCAAATTGTTATGATAATGGAAAAAACCTTTCCATGGATGATAAGGGGTTAAGATAACATTTAACAAATAAATATTAGTCCAGCAAAAATATGTTTTCACCTTCAATTAATTGCTTAAAAATATTTTTTTCAGTGAACTGGTAAATAAAACTATACCTAATAGCATATTTTGTCATTTAACTCTAAGATAACTGAGTTTCCATATGGAGAATTGTCACCACATTGTTCACAAAATGGCAGAAGCATTGATAGATTCAGAAGTAAGACCCAGTAATTACCAAGGTGAGGTTAGCATCATTTAAGATCATTTACCATGAAGCTTTCATAAAAATTTAATTCAACAAGCAAAACAGAAATATTCAGCAGGATTATACTTATGTTAAGCCAGTGTGTTATTTCCAAACCATCATCTAATCCTATACGTTTAAAGTATTGAAATTTATGTATTCCTGTACTAAAATTACAAATGCTCTCAATATTTCATAAATCATTTCCTGAAGTATTTTGCTCAATATAAATTTATTGATATGAAATATCTGCATGCAATAATAGACCTTCTTATGGATACTACAGTTCTGGCTAGGTGCTGCTTGAAAAAAAAAACAATGTGACCTGGTTTTAATTAGGATCCAACTTTTACATACTTTTTTTTACAGATTTTTTCTCTAAAAAATATAAAATACTTCTCTAAACTTACAGAAGTTTTCAGACACTTGATCATTAATTTAAAGCTTTATTTTCTTTCAATATTCTATAAGAGTAACAAAAACAGTCTATACGAGATAATTTATAATACCAAAATAATAATATAAAGAAAAATATTTATCTGGATATAAATTCACAGTACTGATTAGCTTGCATATACATATTTATATTTATGAACTACATGATTAAGTGCTTTGCATTTTATGCGTGTTATCTTACCAGTATTTTGCTGTATTGAATAATGAATAAAATATTGATTAAAAACCAACACTGTTTTCTCTCTAATTTTTTCAATTATTGTTTCAAACCAGAGGAAATCTGGATAATTTGTAAGAAATGTTAGGAAGGACACAAGCATAAAGTTGTTCTAGGAAGCAAGGGCTCAGCATCTGTAAATATAGTGAGTACAAAAAGAGAACCCACTATCAGTGCAGTTCAAGGACATTTATGTATACAGAATGATGAAAGCTATTCACAAACTCTCAAAGGATTACTGCAGATAAAGAAAGACACTTCAATATAAGTAGCCTTGCAAGAACTTAAAAAGAAGCTTAAAATCAACTGGAACATCTTTTGATTTCATACCACACTGTTTGTTCTGTAGCCAGGCACAAAAACTCTGACATAAACAAGTTTTTGAATGATTAATTTGTGTTTGAATTGAAAAAGAAGTTTCAGGACACTTAAAGATATGTGATAAGCAAAATGATAATTGTACTGAAACTTGCTTCTTCTTTGTATCAGTAAAAAAGGTAAATGACTTGAAATGTGGTTCAAGAAAAGCAGCTTTGTTTAGTAGATCAAGAACAGGTTCAGTGTAGTGATCATATAAATTCTCTTTCCTCTTCAGTTTCATCATTTTAACAATCCTGCAGTCAGAGTCAGAGTTTTTCAAAATATTATAGTAGCTTGTGTAACAGTGCTCATATCAGAGACATACAAACATATTTCTGAGCCCCTGAAGCCTCAGTGATCTCAACAAATGGCTTCATTACTTGTACAAGCAGTTCCATATTGGACAATTCTATACCAATTGGCATTAAATCACTTTTCTTGAGTTCCAATAGCATAGCACACAATGGTTGTTGCTGCTGGATTATTCT